TCGAACCCGCGGGCTCAGGCAATCCACTCACCTCGGCCTCCCAAAGCGTGGGATTACAGGCTGAGCCACCGAGTCCGGCTAGGAAGAAATTATTTAAGAGAAAAATGTGGAAACTAAAAACTGAAAGGGAAAGATAAAACACTGAGGTGATCAAGAAAACCTAAAGCTGGTTCTTTAAAAAGACCAGTTAAATAGATTAAGTCCTTGGTAATCAAATCAAAAAGAAAAAAAAGGCTGAGCACAATAGCTCACACCTGTAATCTCAGTATTTTGAGAAGCCAAGGCAGTGGGTTTGTTTAAGTTCAGGAGTTCAAGACCAGCCTGGGCAACATAACAAGACCTCCTCTTTACAGAAAATAAAAAAAAATTTGCTAGGTGTGGTGGCACATGTCTGTAGTCCCAGCTACTTGGGAGGCTAACGTGGGAGGATTGCTAGGTTGAGGCAGTAGTGAGCTGTGCTCACACTGCACTCCAGCCTGGGTAACATAGTGAGACTCAAACCCCCCCCCCCAAAAAAATGGGAAAAACAGAAAACACAAATAAACAGTATTAGCAATAGAAATGGGGACATACCAAACACTAAGAAGATAGTGGTTGTCAGGGGCTTGGAGGAAGGGGAATGTAGGATGTTAGTCAAAGAGTACAAAGTTTAAGTTATGGAAAAATTCTAGGTCTCATGTGCAGCAATACGACCATAGTTGAGAATACTGTATTATATACTGGGAAGAAAAAAATAAAAATATAGTAATGACAGGAGGTAATGTTTTTTCACAATGTAACTGCATATCAAGTTGTATACCATAAATATATGTAATTTTAATGTATTTGTCTATTATGCCTCAATATTTGTTACTGCACCTCAATGCAAAAAATAAAGTAAAAATACAATACAAAAAAAGACAAAGAAATGGGGGCATACAAACAGATCACATACGATCATTCACTCAACAAATATTTACTGAATAGCTACAATGTGACAGGCCCTGCTCTAGATACAGCAATATGCAAGACAGAAAAGGTACTCCCAGTCATGGAGACAACAACCTAAGCGAGGGAGGAGAAGTAATGAATAGCAAGCAAATAAATAATTTAAATTAGTGACAAGCGCTACAAAGAAAATAAAAGATCTTAAAAATAAGCTAACTATGTCGTCAATGGAAAACACAGATGAAATGGGCAATTTCCTAGGAAATCATAAATTACCATAATTGGCTAAAGGAGAAGATTATATGGGGGAAAAAAAGGAGAAATTAAAATTGTGAGGGGAAAAAAAACTAATCTGCAGAAGACACTGGGTCAAGGTGGGGTTTTTTAATTTTTTAACATATTTAATAGCATTTTTTTACCCATTAAAAAAAATCTATGTGCTTATTTTATTTTGACTAATAGTAAAGATTTATTTAAATGTAAAAAGACATTTTACAGTATGGGGTTTTTTCCTACAACATAAACTCGCCATCTCAACTATTTTTACGTGTATATAGTTCAGTGGTATTAAATCCATTAGCAACGTTGTGCAATCATCACCACCATACATCTGTAAAAATGTAAAAACTTCATCTTGTAAAACTGGCACTCTATACCCATTAAACAATAAGTCCCCATTCCCCTCTCCCCCAAGCCCCTGGCAACCACCATTCTATTGTCTGTCTTTTTTATTTTGATTACTCTAAGTACATCGTAAAAGTGGAATCATAGTATTTGTCTTTTTGTGACTAGTGTATTTTAAATAACATTACATACTCAAAGTTCATCCATTTTGTAACATATCACAGAATTTCCTTCCTTTTTAAGGCTGAATAATATTGCATTGCATGGATATACTATCACATTTTGCTTACCTATTCATCTATCAGTGGACACTTAGGTTGAAAATATCTTCTCCCATTCCATAGGTTGCCTTTTCATTTTGTTCACTGTTTCCTTTGCTGTGCAGAAATTTCAGTTGGATATAGCCCTACTTGTTTATTTTTGCTTTTTAGAGTCATATTCACAAAATCTTTGCCAAGACCAATGCCAGGGAGTTTTTCCTCTAGAGTTTTAGTTTCCTGTCATACGTTTAAGTCTTTAATTCATTTTGAGTTGATTTTTGTATATGTGTGAGATAAGGATTCAGTTCCCTAACACCATTTATTGAACATTGTCCTTTTCCCATTGTGTATTCTTGGCACCTTGACTGCACATGCATGGATTTATTTCTGGGCTCTCTGTTTTGTCCTATTAGTCTATATGTCTACTTTTATGCCAGTATCATATTGTTTTGATTAGTACACTTTATCATATACTTTAAAATCATGTAGCATGATTTCTCCAGCTCTGTTCTTTCTCAAGACAGCTTTGGTTATTCAGGGACTTTTGTAGTTTCATATGAATTTTAGGATTTTTTCCTATTTCTGTGAAAAAAATCATTGAAATTTTGATAGGGGTTGCATTGAATCTATAGATAGCATTGGGTAGCGGTGTGTGAGAGATCATATCTCTTTATGACTGTTATATGCATTTCCCTGCAAACTAATGACTTAGGGCAGTTTTTCATGAGCTCATTGGCTATTTATATATCTTCCCTGAAGAAATGTCCTTTCAATTTCTTTATACATTTTTAAAAATTGAGATGAAATTCACATGACACAAAATTACCTATTTTAAAGTGAATAATTCAGAGCCATTTAGTACATTCACAATCTTGTGTGACCATCTCTATCTAGCTCAAAAACATTTTCATCACTCGAAAATAAAACCCTTTACCCATTAAGCAGTTACTTGCCATTCTTCAATCCCTCCAGCCTATGCTACCACCAGTCTGCTTTCTGCCTCTATGGATTTAGCTATTCTGGATACTTCTTATGAATGAAATC